CTTAATGTTGAGTTTCAAGCCAACATTAAGAAAACTAAGATCATGGCATCCGGTCCTCTCACTTCCTGGCAAATAGATGGGGAAGAAATGGAGGTAGTGACAGATTTTATTTTCCTGGGCTCCAAGTTCACCGCAGACGGGGACCGCAGACAACAAATTAAAAGACGCTTGCTCCTGGGGAGGAAAGCTATGGCAAATCTAGACAGCATACTAAAAAGCAGATACATCTTCCTGCCAACAAAAGTGCGTATAGTCAAGGCTATGGTTTTCCCAGTTGCAATGTATGGCTGTGAAAATTGGACCATAAGGAAGGCTGAGCGCCGAAGGATTGAGGCCTTTGAATTGTAGTGCTGGAGGAGACTCCTGCGAGTCCCTTGGACTGCAAGGCGATCAAACTGGTCAGTCCTAGAGGAGATCAGCCCTGACTGCTCTTTAGAAGGCCAGATAATGAAGATGAAGCTCAAATACTTTGGCCACCTAATGAGAGGGAAGGACTCCCTGGAGAAGCGCCTGATGCTGGGAACAATAGATGGCAAAAGAAGGAGGGGACGGCAGAGGATGAGGTGGCTGGATGGGGTCACTGAAGCAGTCGGCGTGAGCTTGGGTGGACTCCGGGGATGGTGGAGGACAGGAAGGCCTGGAGGAATGTTGTCCATGGGGTCGCAATGGGTTGGACAGGACTTCACGACTAACAACAACAAAATTAGGAGCCCACACATCGAGTCTCCGTTTTCTTGTTGACAGATCTATGCGGTGGGCGGCTATGACGGCGTTTACCGCCTGTCCAGTGTGGAGTGTTACGACCCCTTCTCCAACAGCTGGGCGGCTGTGGCCCCTTTGCTGGAAGCCGTGAGCTCGCCGGCTGTTGCCTCCTGCCTCCACAAGCTCTATGTGATCGGGGGCGCGACGGAGGACGGGGCCAACACAGAGAAGGTAACGGACTGCGTCGGGAGAAAAGCGAGTCCGCTTTGGCTTTGGGATGTACCTGTGCAATTTGGCCTCTAGGGAATCCCAAGCTATGCTCTGCAAGGAATGAAGCCCAGATTCGCACTTCTGTGACCACTGCGGTGTTGTGGTTAAGAGCGAGGGACTGGGACTCAGGCGAGCCGGGTTCGAGTTCCCGCTCAGCCAACAGGGTGACTCTGGTCCAGTCGCAGACTCTCAGCCCAACCTATCTCACAGGGTTGTTGTGGGGATAAGATGGAGAGGAGAATTATTCAAACTTTCTTAAACGCCTTGGAAAGAAATATAGGCAGAGTATACATATAAACAAACAAACATTGCATTTGGGTAGTGCCGTTTTAGAAGGCAAAACGTTAGAATTTGGCTCTAGTCCTCGCTAACTTCCTCTCCGCTGGGCTTTATTCTTTATCATTTTCTTTTCCCCTAGTTTTGCAGGTAATCAGTTTTTCCTTCTCAGTTTGCATCACGATCTTTGATTTGTATGTGGAATGACTACATATGAGTTGCCAAAAGAAACAAATATGGGAAGGGGAAGGAGAGGCATCATCTGAAAGAAGACAAAAGAGACCATGATTTGAATAAAAGTCACACAGGCTGGTTTACATGCAGATGTGAATTTAGAAATATAATTGAAACAGCAGTACAGTAGATTCTGCCTTTAGTGTGGGTGAACCATCCCCAGCAGAAGCCCAGATTTGCTCCCCGAGTCCTGAACGCCTCTGTCCAGACTTGGACAAAAGTTTTCCAGTATTTGGGGTTCTCATTTGTGTATACAAACTGCTACAGTTCACTGATCGAGAGGCGCTGCCTGAAAGCGGGGCCTTCTCTGTAGCGGCACCCAGCCTGGGGAACATTCTGGCACGTGGTGGTTCAAGAGGCAGACTGCAAATGGCAGAGGGCGTCCTAAACACCTGAAGGCACCTGGCTGGGGAAGGTTGATTCGCAGGAAATGAAAAAAAAAAAGTTTCTTCTCTTGGAAGGTAGCAAGGTGGCCCACGGCTGGTTTTCCTGCCTGCCCTCAGGACAGGCCCCTTCGGGGTTGGCGCTGCTTCGGAACCAACCCCAAACCGCTCCGTTACTGATGGCCTGTTCGCCCGCCCCCCAGGTGCAGTGTTACGACCCCCAGGGGAACACGTGGAGCCTCCTGTCTCCTGCCCCCTTCTGCCAGCGGTGCATCAACGCGGTCACTTTGGACCATGTGATTTACGTGGCCGGAGGACTCCTGAGCGCCGTCTTCAGCTATGACCCCCGGAGCGACGCTTGGAGAGAAGCTGCATTGCTGCCTGGGCCTCTGGTACGGAGAAGCTCTCGGGACCCGAGGGCAGGGAGGGCAGCCGAATGCACCGCTAGGTCACTGCAGGATTGCCCTGGTGGGGGAAGGCCACTTTTCTGTCTAAACATGCACAGGATTGCGGTATCATGAGCATGTCATGAGCGCAGCCAGCTGGAGCCGGGGGTCAGACTAGATGGCCCAGGAGGCCCCTTCTGACTCGCTCAGTTTTTCTGTTTCTATGTGTCCCTTCTCCAAATCCGGGGAAGTGTTGATGATGCAAGTCATTCCCAGGAGGATTTTTTTGCTAGTGTGGCTTCCAGCCGAAGGACCTTGAGGCCTGGAGAGTTGAAGGGTCTTAAGAACGAATCCTCAGCATCTTCATGAAACTACAAGTCCCATGGGCCTTTGGAGTGGGGAGTACAGGACAGGGGAGCCATTTTCAAATCGCTGAACAGGGCTGCTTGAAAGCACTCATATGGTGGTGATCCATCTTCTCTTAGAAGGAATTTGAGATGGAGTTGGCCAAGACCCAGAGGGCTGGGGATGGTTCGGGCGGCGGGCTGGGCCTTGGGAGATTTGGGTTCTGGTCACAACTGGACTCTGCAGCTTTGAGCCGGACCTTCTGGAGGTGGAAAAAGTACAGAGAAGGGCAATGAAAATGACCCGGGGCTGGAGCAGCTTCCCTGTGAAGAGTGGCTGCCACTTCTGGGATCGTAGAACAAATCCAGTTGGTGATCCTTAGCCTAACCTACCTTGCAGGGTTGTTGTGAGGATAATATAGAGCAAGGAGAAGTATGAAAATGGTCTTGGGCTTCTTGCAAAAGTAAAAAGGGTGGGATATAAGTTTAACAACCACAAAATTCAACAGTACAATCCTATGAATGTCTGTTCAGATAGCACTCTCCAGGCTCCAGATGACTTGCCTCCAGCTGAGATGTTTACATTTTAAACAAGCGTTTGCATATTAGACCATTTGGGAGTCTGGTGTTCCATGACCACTGCTCCTCTGTGTCACATTAGTGAAGTTCACGACCCTGAAATTGGTGGCTGGCTTGGTGAAATTGGGCCTGGACCTTGCGTCTTCTTTCTCCTCCTGCAGGAGAGCTGTGGAGTCACCGTGTGCAGTGGCAAAATCCACATCCTGGGAGGCCAAGATGAGAACGGGGAAGGCTCTGACAAAGCTTTCGCTTTGGACGTGGCCGCCGGCGTCATGGAGCCCCAGCCCCCTCTGCAGCGCTGCACCAGTTACCACGGGTGCGTGACCATCCTCCGGAGCACATGCAGATGACACGGAGCCCCGCGTCCTCCCCTCCGCCACCTGCTTGGAAAGGCACCGAGGCAGGGGGCCCACAGATGACTGCTCCACATCTCCTTCCCCCGTTTTCCGACAGCCGCAGTGTCCGGATCTTCTTCTATAGTGTGCAAATCCGTAGGGTGATGGTGCTCAGCCCAAGCCATCCGGGGAGATCCATATCTTTCTTTTGCAGGACAGGAGTGTCGACGTGCCTTGGAGACGAACTGGAGTCTGGAAGCAAACGAAGAGGGCAACCCCTCCTTACCTGGGCTGAGCAAATCAGCAAAAACCAGGTGGGCTCAACCTCACCACCACCCTCTTTCCACACCAGGGCCATGCTAGTTGACTTTCCATTTGTGCTAAAAGGAAAAAAAAGAGTCACATGTGTTTTCCTGCAGATCTGTCAAAACGCGAGCTTCTGTTTTGCGTCTGTTTGAAACTTGAAACTTTTCTTCTTCCATGGTTTCAGTGCACTGGGTGCCTCTTTCACACGTGGCTTTTTTGAGCAATATTCTTGCCCTGTGGATCCCGCTGCAAACTCAGGCAGTTTGTTTGTTTATTTATTTATTTATTTATTTATTTATTTAAAGCTTTTGTATGCCATCCTATTATACAAGATCTCAGGACGGCTTACAATTTTTAAAAGGACAATTAAAACAACAATTTCAATAATAAAACAGAAGAAAACAATAAACCAAACAGAGCGACTAAACTAAAAAAACTATTAGAGTTTAAAATACTGTTTAAATAAACAGGTTTTGGCCTGGCGCCGAAGAGAGTATAAACTTGGTGCCAGGCGTACTTCTCTGGGGAGCGCATTCCAGAGTCTGGGCACCACAGCAGAGAAGGCCCTGCTCCGAGTTGATGGCCTTTTTACCTCTCTTGGAGAGGGTTCCCAGAGCAGGGCTTCTCCCGCAGATTTTAAGGGGCGTGAGGGCATATAAGGAAGGAGATGTTCCTTCAGGTTTCCTGGTCCCAAGCCGTTTAGGGCTTTATAGATCAAAACCTATCCATGTGGCAGACTTGCTGCTGCTTGCATTCCGCTCATCCCAGGAGGTGCAAACAGGGTAAAGTCTGGTTAGAAAGAGCCCGGAGGAGGGCAGCAAAAATGATGCAGGTTTGGAAATGCTGCCCTGTGAGGAGAGACTGGGAGAACTGGGCATGTTCAGCTTTGAGAAGAGAAGACTGAGGGGGACATGAGATCCCTCTGCGAGTACCTCCAAGGCTGCCACAAAGAGGAAGGTCAAGATCTCTTCCTGCTGATGGCAGAGTGCAGGACACGGAATAAGCAGTTCAAGTTGCGACAACCCAGATTCAGGCTGGACATCAGGAAGAGCTTCCTCCCTGTCAGACCAACACGACGGTGGAACCAGCTGCCTGGAGAGGTGGGGGGCTCTCCCACACTGGGGGCATTCAAGGCGAAACTGGGCAGCCACCTGAGTGGGATGGTGTAACTTGGTGTCCTGCAACACCAGGGGGTTGGACTAGATGGCCTTCAGGCCCCTTCCAACTCTACTCTTCTAGGATTCTATAATTCAAAACCAAACTGAAAGTTTTCTCATGCAGCCCAGTTCAAGGGTGGGGGGAGCTATTTGCCCCCTAAGCTGGCCCTAATCTGCTTCAGTATGTCTGGCAGTATTCAGCTGCCTCATTCACTCAGCCGGAATGTAGAAAGCTGCATTAAACCATGTCCACTGGTCTTGCCTGTGTTAAGGGTAGGCAACTCATGTTCTCCAGATGTTTTGGACTACAACACACATGGACCCCAGCAGGCAAGCCTTCCCTGTTGCTGGACCTCTGGGGTTACTTACAGGAACAGCAAATATCATTGGAATCCGACAAATGGAACCTGACAAGAAAGTTGGCATCCACCAAAGTTCAGCACCTCAAAACAGACCCGACTGAGCTCAGAGAGAGTTTTATGTCACCTTTTTTAAAGAGAAAGGACTCTAAGAAACTCAGCTATCACCACCAGCACCACCACCATCCTCCTCCTGTTAGTCTTCCCGAAATTGTGGATGCACCACATGGCAGCCAGCTCTGCCCTGGCCGAGGGAGGCTGGCACGGCTTCCACCCGCAATGGCCACTCTACTCAGGAAGACCCTTTGGCCCATGAATGGGTTTGTGTTCCTCCCTTTTGTTCCACGAGTGTTGTGTTTCTAGCATATTTGAATGTGCGCAATTGTCTTCGTCCGCGTTTTTTATGCCTGAAAGTTGCTTTGGGTGCCGTCATTTGGTAGAAACAGGGTACAGACCAGAGAAAGCGATGAAACTCTTCCTGTGGGGCATCGCTTTCCCTCTTGCCTCCCCACAAATATTTTCCCTGATGCCAGCCCGTGGCTGTTCTCCCCCAAGGCAGGGGGTGCCCCAGATGGACACACGGGCAGGTCAAGAAGCTTCTCCACAGAAAGAGCCCGACCCTTGATCTGCAGAGTGTTCTTGTCCTGGTATCCGGAGGGCAAAGGATTTGGATGTTAAGTCAGTGGCTGGATAAGTCAAACACTTGGACAGGTCTGTGGACTGGAAATGAGATGGAATGGAATGGAATTAGTGTTGGCGTCTTGCGCATTGCAACAGAAAGGCGGCAGAAGAGTGTGCATCCCAGTGGCACAGGCACACTGACAGGCAGTGCAAATGCACAAATACAGGTTCAGCGGAAACTCAGTAGAAGTTCAGTTCATCTTGCATGCATGTCAATGAGCAACTCTGAAAACCCTCCTTGCCTGCTCTTTCTTCCTATGGTTCTGGACCTTAAACCAGGCTTGGACTGGGCACTGTCAAAGCTCCAGAGAAAGGGCATGGCTGTGAAAGCTGGAGCATAAGGAAGGCCGAGCGCCGAAGGATCGAGGCCTTTGAATTGTGGTGCTGGAGGAGACTCCTGCGAGTCCCTTGGACCACAAGGCAATCAAACCAGTCAGTCCTAGAGGAGATCAGCCCTGACTGCTCTTTAGAAGGCCAGATCCTGAAACTGAAGCTCAAATGCTTTGGCCACCTCATGAGAAGGAAGGACTCCCTGGAGAAGAGCCTGATGCTGGGAACAATAGATGGCAAAAGAAGGAGGGGATGGCAGAGGATGTGGTGGCTGGATGGGGTCACTGGGGCAGTGGTTGTGGGGTTGGGTGGACTCTGAGGGATGGTGGAATATAGGAAGGCCTGGAGGAAGGCTGCCCATGGGGTTGTGATGGTCAGGCACGACTTTGCGACTAAACAACCAAAGAAAGGGCAGTCCTCTTCCAGTTCTGCAAGCAGAGGACCGCCCTCTGTGGAAGAGGACACCTGGCCTCCCTACCTAGGGGAGAGATTAAGGACAAGCTAGAGCTAAGCAATGGTAAGGGTTCGGGTTTTCTGCCTAAACATGCATGGGGTTGTACCCTAAAGCTATTTGTGTGTGTGCGTGTGCACTTGCAGAACTGCGAGAAATGCTTTTGCAGAAGCCAGCTCACAGGGAGGCCAACCGGCACAGGTCTGCCTGCCCGCCAGCTGGTGCCTTTCAGCTGTGTTGCACCCCACTGCACATAATCTCTGCTGCCTGGGGAGGATGGGAAGCGCAGTCCTGCACAGCAGAGGAGAGCCGGAGAGGGGAAGCCTGGGGGAAATGGAAGGGGCTCCATGAGGTGCCCCCCCCCACCGTCCCGAAGAGCCTCTCCTTGAAAGCCCGAGGAGGCAAGAGCAAACCGGACGGCCTCGTCAGCCTCTTCAAGGCCAACGCGCCGCTAAGATCACCCTCGTCCGCACTTCTCATCAGCCCAGAATCACACGGACCCCTGGCCCTCAGCGGAAGCAGGTGAGCCTTCCCACGACAATCCGCGCATGGCGACGGAAGCGGGAAGGACAGTCCAGCTTTCCCCATCAACATCCGTCAGCCCCGTCACAAATCCATCGATGCAGCCTCCGTTCTAACATCGCTTAGACGGCCGGGCAGCTTCCATGTACCAGCTGCCCCCTCCCCGAGAGCAGCAGGCAAAGAGGCCAGGAGCACCGTCCCCCCAAGTCACCGCTGGGCCACAAGGGGATTTAGCCCAGCCCCAAGGCCCGCTCCTCCAGCTTTCAGAGGGAACGTCCCCGGCTGAAGCCAGCGGGGTTGTACGGCTGCCAAATGGCCATTCCAGGTGTGTCTCCTGGGAAGTAAGTCCCACTCTGCTCACTGTGGCTTCCCCTGGGGGCAGCATTCGCCCTGTGAGGTTGTGCTGGGTAAAACTTCCTGTTTATACTTTTGTAGCGTTTTTCAGCTTTCTTGTGGTTTAATGTTAATATGTAGTTGATTTAATTGTACTTTCAAGTTTAGTACACTTTTGAATGTTTTAATTGTGCGAATGTTAATGCTGCGAGTTGCCTGGAACAGGTGGGATAGATCATCGCCATCACCACCACCATTGTTACTCATTATTAATTATATTAGTATTTATTATAAATTATTATTATTAATCACCACCACAAGTACTGTAGAATTTCAGGGATCTGATCCAGTCTTTCAGTCAATATGCAAAGGAGGTGGTTTCGTGCAGACAAAATTTTTCCTGGCCTTTGTCAGAGACAAAGATGGAGAATGTCACTCTCTTCCCACTTGCCTTGGATCTGACCGCCCCCCGCTGCTGGGTTCCGCTCCCCACCGGCTGCTGTTGTGTTGTAATGACGAGGTTGTGATAATGCCCTTGTCTGGCACATCTAAAAGAGTCAAAGCAATTTGCCCGCATGATCTTGAAATCCTTCCAACCCACCTGCAAGGTAGGGGCATATAAATTATCCCCATCCTGCAGATGGGAGCACTGAGGCCAGCCGGCACAACTTGGCTGTGCTGCTCTGTGCTCACAGCGATGGAGACACCGAGGCCGGGCCAATGCTCCTGATTTCTGGCGGCTGGCGCTGTGCCCACCACACCTCCCCGTGTCCCCCGGGCCCGTCCATTTCCTATCCAGATGCCCAGTGTCTGGCTTTTCATCTCTCATTTACACATACGGCAGTCCGGGGGTGCTGCGTGCTGCTAATCTCCACA